TTTTTTTTGTACATTTTTTCCCATCTTTTATTAATTGATTAGGTGCTTTCAATTTTTAACCAACAAAACAATAGTAATAAATGTCCTATTTATTCTAACATTGTACATGTCGGAATATTGTGTCGTAATCTTAAAAAGAAATCACGAAATGGAATGTGTTTCAACACTTTAAAATCTACAGCTACAAAGGTGTAGAATCCTTGTTTAGTTATGTCGGACAACTATCACGTGTACATGTATCTGAAACTGTCATTTTTCTACACATTTTATCTGACTGCAGTAATGTGTTCTCATTAAATGCAACTTTGTAAAAGCTGTTGTAATGTGTGAGTTTTATTATGAGAAGAACCTGCTCTGAAGAGACCTTAAATGCAGAGTATGAACGTGTTCTATTTCCATATGCTGTACTTTTTCTTCCGACCGGTAGGGAGCAGCAGCCGTTAAAACCCATGTTGATAAATCTCGTTTTGGAAATAGAGGAATAAGCGCTTCCTTTTGAACTGCAGACATCTAGAAAAATGTCTGCGGAGGATGAAATTAAACGTTTGGAATATCTGTCTCTCGTTTCCAAGGTGTGCACAGAGTTGGAAAATCATTTAGAGATACGCGAGAAGGATTTAGGTAACGCTACGTTACACGACAACACCGTTTCATTCGCCTATAATTATTAGTTTAGCATCACCGACACGGTAATGTTTACCAAACAGGTGACTAATTATCTGATGCTTGTTTTACAGCTGAATTCATCATCAGTTTGGCCGAAAAACACCCGGCATTTGAGGAATTTAAAGCTGCCCTGTTAGAAAATGGAGCAGAGTTCACAGTAAGTGTTAAACTAATGTGAGCTCACAAAAAAGTTATTTTGTGGTTGTTTTTTTAATCACTTGTTTGTTCTAGGATACTCTTGTTGCTAATTTACACCGGCTTATTAATACTATGCGGTCCACGCCGTCTACGAGTAAAGGTACTATATCTTTTTACTGATAGATTTGTGTTTTAAAGTTGTGCTTGACAGCTGTGTTACAGTTTTAAACTTTTTTTTTGGTCAAACCAGGTGAGAAGGACAAATTGAAGGAGAAATATCCTGCTTTATGTAAACCTGATGACCCTGTGTGGATGGTAGGACTCGCCATTTAGCTGTTATTGTGCAATGAAACCCATTCATTCCTCTCACTAAATTTCAGAACAAAATTACAATTAATGTGTGTGATTTTCCAGATTCCTCCTTCTACCACAGACAACAATGATGCAGAGGTGGCTGCAGCTGCAATGAAGCAGTTGGAAATGCTGATGCCTAATGTCAGTAGAATAATCTCAGATAACAGGTACTATATATATTTTTATCATATATATAATTATGATATATATAATTTTGTTGTTTAATAGTTTATTATTTAACCCTTGTGTAATGTTCATATTGTTGTTACTCAGCCAGTGTTTGTGGGTCTGATGGACCCGTTGCATTTTGTGGCTTTTGATGCCTCACAATCAACACTTTTATGTTAAAATA